AACAGCAATTAATAGGCAAAGAGTGGGGACCCCCAATTCACCTTTAAGGGGACCTCATCCCCTAATAAAAGCCACTCCCTATGTGTTTGCTGCTCTCAAAGAAGCACACACAGAGTGAAAACATAGGAAGAGAAGATGGTTCAGTGTGCCTCTTCTCAAAGAAACTTCATCTTCAGTTGAGATAAATCATGAGACAGACTGGTTAATGTTTAGCCCTGTAAAAACCTGAGATCTACAGATAAGATACTTTCATGCTTTTGTAAGACAACCTGAAGGTGTCATGAAAATGGTGTGTTGCACTGCCTTGCATATCTTTCCTTGGCATGTAGTAATACAGTACATAAATACATACAACTCATACAACTGTTATAAGAAAATCAGTTCTTCACAAATGGTCACACCAGATTCAATAATCAGTGGTTTGGAGTGGCGCTCAAATCTATACTGTTTCCACAAAAATATCAAAACATTTCAGCAGCCCTTGCAGGGAAATTAGTTAAAGATAAAAGGATATCCTATGATGGCTGTAAAACAAAATAGTTTCTCCTTATAGCACACTAATTACATTTCCACTGTGGAAGTCAGATAAGCTTAATTTTGTAAACAAATACAAACGATCCGGGAGGAAGCAGGAAATTTCTGGAATGGCGTAATTCAACTGTCTTCTCCAACAATACCTGTACACACGGCCGTTTAGTTGGTGTTGTTGTCAAAACAAAACGTAATAATTAAGGAGTTGAGTTTTCAATTTTGGAGTTCATATCTTTCACTGGCTGGGACCACATCCTCTGTAATGATGGGCGATGAGGGATGAGGAAGTGTGAACTGGTGCTGCGGTGTGGGGAAGGCCTCGAAGGGGACTGGCGACGGCTCCCGGGCCGGGCAGATCCCCATGTGCTAATAAGAAATGAATGAAGGAAAGGATGAGAGGAGAAGAGAGGGAGGAAGGGGGCTTTTATAGCCTGAGGCCGGAGGGGGCATGAAGGAGGAGTGTGCCCGCTCCTGAAATTCAGATGATATCTCCACTAAAATGCGCCACAAGTAAATTTTACATGTTATATTTCTGATTATTCTGCTGTTTGAAAAGCCAGAACTGAAAAAAAGGTTAATTTTAGCCATGCCCTTTTTTTAAACATCGTTATGCTTTCTGTTTGTTGCATAACTGATAGTCTATCTAGTCTGGGTCAGCTCATCAGCTCAAGTGTTCACTGACCCAATCTCACAATGCAGCTGTAGTCTCATGATTGTGATTCCCCCTCAATGCTACTGTCCACTGGCAATGAATAGGAGTCTTTGAAGGAGCCTGTCAACCAGCGATGATTTCAGAGCGTGTGAGTGTGCAGCTGGATGTTTTTTGGACAATGCATCACCCTGTCAAACAAAAGCTAAACAGCCTAAAACCCTAGAAATCATTTCATCGTCCTTTTGGCTCTGCTGCCTCCCTTCAAATTCCCCTCATCATCAATGTGAAGAATTGCCATTCTTTATCCATGACATCAAAAAAATGTGCTTAGGAACTAATTTATCGACCTTCCCCTTTCTGACCAAACAATAATTAGATGAATTTGAGCAATTAGTAGAATGAGTTCCTGACTGTCACAGGCTATTTCGCGGGTCGCTGCTTTTCTGTGTTATGTACGCTCTTCAAATTTTTATACTGCAGTTTGTTTGTTCAGCCGCTAACCCACAGCATTCCCAGCAAACTCTCAGCGCATGTGTACAGTTTGATTTCATCTTCCACTCTTTCAGTTCGTTGCACCAATTTCTTGTTGTAGGGGAAGCAAGACAGGGGAAAACTACAACCACTCTTTGCTGACAAATCTCCTCCAATCCCTGGACAGGTCACCACTCTGTCACAGGGCTAACACAGACAGATAACCATTCATGCTCATATTCACACCTATGGATGATGACACCATGTCTTTGGGCTGTGGGTGGGAGAGTTAGGATTTTGTCTATGTTCAGCAAGAAAAACTCTCACTCCTGCTCCTTCTTGTGATTCACTGCGTTTTCAGTGTAACTCTTGAGGATTTTTAGCAGTCTATGTCGCATAGATGAGATTTTATGGTGTAACAGTGCCACTGTTCACCTTATATCTGGTATGCACCACCTCTGAATTGAAACAAAAAGAGATGCAATAATCAAACGCACCATGAACTTTCCCATTGACAGCTGGAAATTTTTAAAAATGCTCATTACAGCTCCATTACAGCTCTTACATAAATCTCATACGCAGAGCTTTTCAGTGTGTTTACAATTTTTTATATATATAAAAAAATATATATAAAATATATATATAATGCAAATTTTTTTTAATTTTTTTTTTTTAGCTTTCACACATTTTCTACATTCTTCTGCTGGCGGTCAGAACAGTTATCACAGTTCAGTCTGATTTGACGTGAAGGTATGATTTGGGAACACTATCAGTAGTGGTTAAAACTGTGATAAGATCCAGATACATTTATTGTACTGTAAACTGTGGAAGATTTCTGGAATTCTTTACATTTCTGTCAAAACAGGTCACAGCAAAATATATGCTGTTTGCCTTCTATTTGAAGATATATCCTCAAATGGCTCATATCTGAGAGAAAAAATGAAGAATCCAAGGCCACAAAGTTAATATAAATACACTGGGGTTTTGTTATTTTTTATAAAGTGTTTTTGCTTTTGTTTTTTAATTAATTTATATTATTGTTGTAACACATCAGACTGAGGGTTTGGTTAAAATATTCATCTCTGTGTTGCAATAGTTTTAAATGAAATTGATGCAATGACTAAGACATATGAATCTTTTTAAGCTCAAAACTCCTTTTTTCTTTCTTTTTCTTTCCTTACATGAACTCCTCTCCCCTTATGCATATTTACTCATGACTACTCATAACTTGTGATCTTACACAATCCAAAGAAATGATGTTGGTCACCGCAGGTTTTGGTTAAAATAAGACCTTTTCGTACTTTTGTGCCTTTCCTTACTTTCTGTAACAGCATACTGTATATGCTGTTACGCTGATGAATGCTCAGATCAAACATGGCCAAAGTTTCAAACTGTGAGGCCAGAAAACATAAGAACGTGACATAAAAAGCTCAGGATTCACACTACTGCTGTAAACACTCAGTTTAAGATTTACCTTTTTACTTCTGGCTCCTAATGAGAGGATCTAGATACAGAGAGGAGGGCATTGACACAACTTAACCAATTTTCAAAGTGCAAGGAGAAGAGCATACACTCTCAAGACGTAAAATCTCCATCAATCAACTTTATCACTTCACTGTTGTGTTGCGTGAGCTTTCCCAGACACACTGCTAAGGGCACGGAAGTCACACCCACCTAAGGAAAGAGTTGCTTTAAAGATAGAGGAGCTAAAACAACTTAGTTGAAGGGCTGAAGCCAGTATGAGCTGAACAAGAATCACTTTGAACTGTGAGTCATACAAAGCTGCTACTATACAAATCTACTGCGTAATGAACGTAGGTCTATATATAAAGATGTAAAGTAAGTTCCTCAGCTTCAGTAACAATAAAGCTTTAACTCCTTTAACAGATGTTTGTGTCTTCTTGTTCTTCAAACCAAAGAGCTTACGCATGTCTACATAACTTTATACATCACCGCTTTACCTAAATCCGCTCCTGTATTTATTTTGGACAGTTTCCATCTGGAAAGAAACCCTAACTCTTAGGCATTGTTGTTATAGGTTCAGCTACTGACTGTTGGCAACATGTCACTGTTTGCCTTTCTTTATCTTACTTTGTAAATCTGGTTCAAATTCATGTCATTCCTTCAATTTTAACATTGAAGAAAAGACAGCACTAGTGGAAGAAAGTATATATTTTTATTCAGTGTGACAAACAGATATTGATAAATTATTTATTAGGTCTTTAACCAGCCATCAACTTTTAAATGTTAGTAAGTCATTGCTAATGTGACTGGGTCGCCTCTGTCCCGCGACGTTGGGAGAATAGAAGCTCATATGAAAAACTGTAAGTGAGGCCAGGCTGGATGGGATTCAAATTTCATTTTTGACTGAGCTGCTTGAGCGCTGCACTTCTCTGGCCATGAATATACTAAACTTTAACTACTCGTGCATCCACACAGTTTATTCTGTGCATCACTATTTCTCAAAGGAATCTATAATTTTGGGTAAAAAACTTAATACAGATTTTCACTAAATCATCCACAGACATTCACCAGTTAAAGCAGCTGCTGTTTGTAGCCTTGAGTTGAGGGGGCAGGTGTAACAGGCAGCTCAATTCACAGAGCTGATGTTTCACTCTGCCGGTGCTCTAACTCTCTGTCAACAAAATAACTAATAACTATTTAGAGAACATGCTTTCGGTTGATGAATTGCTATTGCCATCTATAATAAATGTTCCCCATTTTTAACCCAAAAAGGATTAAACACCTCAAAAAACTGTTTCCTAATCTAGTGGCATGTAAACTTTATCAGTGGAGGGAGGGTGAAGCTTGAAATCACTATGTGGGAGTTGTCTTCTTTCCCACTCCCTTATGTGCTGTCCAAGGTGTGAGTGCACAGAAAACAGAAATTACCCAAAGTCAGAATTTTCCAACTTTAAAATGAATATAAATAGGAAAAAGATGACTTTAAATGTGTAAAATTCTCCTTCTGTGAACCTGTATTTCTTCCTTGGACCTGTATTTAAAGCAAACTCGTGTTTTGTCTCTAAAAACCTCACAATAAAAGGCTTTGCCACAAAACTGTAAATGTTTGCATGAATGGAAAATGTACCTTTGGATGTAGCTATTTAAAGATCCTGTTCTATTACTCACGAAAGTCCAAAGACCAGAAAGTACTGCACAGGGAGTTAGTGGGAGAGGGGCCAGAGGACAGGGAGACGAGGGAGGGAGGGCGAGGGAGCAGAGGGAGGGATGAGAGCCCAGTCTTTTGGATTTCTCATTAATTCAGTGTGGCCCTCTCTTTCAGTTTTTTAAAGCCCGCCCACTAACCATTATCAACCCAGGCCTTATATATGCAGCCTGTTGCTGTTGTTTGTGAGTACATCTTACAGAGGATCAGCTCAAACCCACAGCTGCCAAAATGAGAGAGTTCAAGAGCAAGGCTTTCTGGAGGGCAGTTCTGGCCGAACTGGTTGGGATGACCCTTTTTATTTTTCTCAGCATCGCCACAGCTATTGGGAACACAAACAACACTAATCCAGACCAAGAGGTGAAGGTGTCACTGGCCTTTGGACTTGCCATTGCCACTCTGGCCCAAAGTTTAGGCCACATCAGTGGAGCCCACCTGAATCCTGCAGTCACCCTCGGGATGCTTGCCAGCTGCCAGATCAGTGTGTTCAAGGCTATCATGTACATTATTGCCCAGATGCTGGGCTCAGCCCTAGCCAGTGGCATTGTGTATGGAACACGGCCTGAAAACAATACTGCACTGGGGCTCAACGCTGTAAGTATAAACTTTATCTTGAGTTTCAAACATTTCTGCATTAATAGCAAAAATAAAAGCACGGCGATGCGATGATGCAACAGTGTGTATTTAAAGTACTTTCATGGTGAAAACTGAAACTTTTACAAGGATGTAAGTGCTGAATTGGCACTGATTATGCGGTTCTTGGGACATTCTGTCAATACTTATTAATGAATAGTGATGACACATTATTATTAAAGTATGCCATGCTGCAACAGCTAAAAGAAATAGGAAATATATATAGTGTCCACCCACTTGTACTTTGGCAATCTGTTTCTGGAAATTGAGGTTTTGAATACCATAATTCTTCACTTAAATTAATGAGCAGTTATTACTTAATGCTACACCACTCTGTAATTAGCACCCACAGCTCTCTCCTTACTGAAAAACAACACTGGTAGGACCTGATATCACCCAGCCCCACCCCCCCACCTCAAGAAGCCGCACAGCTCCACTTAATGTTAACAACAATAACCACGTTTTCCAAGAAAGAAATATGAACAAGCAATGTGGCACTTTGCAGCACTGCCAGATTGCTGTCAGGCTTCCTGGGCAATTCCAGCAGCTACTAAATAGGAAGTGGTTGTGCTAGGAAACAATCTATCTATCTGACAAAATCTGACAAAGTCTGACAAAGTGTTGTTTTGGATTCCTCCCTTAACTTTCACAGCTCAACGGCGTCACACCCAGCCAAGGCGTAGGCATAGAGCTTTTGGCAACCTTCCAGCTGGTGCTGTGTGTCATTGCGGTCACTGATAAAAGACGACGTGATGTCACCGGCTCTGCACCCTTGGCCATTGGCCTCTCAGTCTGCCTGGGACACTTGGCAGCTGTAAGTTGCACTTTAACGCCATCGTCATTCATATATAACTTGTAAAAAGGGAACCAGGAGCAGATATGGCAGGATTCTGCTCCTGCTGATGATATTCTCTCATGTTGCCTTTTTGTTGTTGTTGATTGACTGCAGATCAGCTACACAGGCTGTGGCATCAACCCTGCTCGCTCCTTCGGCCCGGCTTTGATCATGAACAATTTTACAGACCACTGGGTAAGTCAGAGGGAGGGAATCACTTTACGCATACCTCACATTTTTTCTGCATGGATATTATATGTCAAGCTTAAATAATTCAATAATTCATCAACAGACAGATGCCTCAATTACTTGTGAATCTTCCTGCATGTGTTAATCAGTTACAGCTTTCCTATTGTTTTGCATTTAGAGAGATTGACTAAAGTAAGCCTTTTGACCATGACCGGAATCTGCGTTTCTCTTTGTCTTGTAATGATGCCAGACATTGATCGAAGCTCTCCCTTTGTAGGTGTACTGGGTGGGTCCAATGTGTGGCGGTGTGGCAGCAGCTCTTCTGTACGATTTCTTGCTTTCTCCCAAATTCGATGACTTCCCCGACCGCATGAAGGTGCTGGTCAGCGGGCCAGTGGGTGACTATGACGTCAACGGAGGCAACGATGCAACAACTGTGGAGATGAGCTCAAAGTAGTGCTACGCAAACATGAAATGCTATTGTAAATATCTATACTCCTGTACAAAAGCATTAGAATTTAGTTTAGTATGTTAGTGTTTTTTTTTTCTCCTGTTTTAAGGTAACCAATGAGGATTGTGGTCAACGGGTCAGTTAGTGCTTCCTTCCTATTTTGCTCATGTTTTTGGCCAAGCACCAGTTTTTTATCCAAAGTGCCGCTGAGACAAGTTAACTCTAAAATTCCCAACAGAGTCGAGTGTTAATGTTTGTTTTTTCAATATCAGTATTCCAGGTTGAGCCATTTTTGTATACATATTTCTATGAGTCTTTATCACGTTTTATTTCTGATGGATAATGTATTGTGTGTGCACTTTTGAAACACCTCTCACTTTTTTAAGTAAAAGAAAACACTGGATATTAAAAAAAAAGATTGTGTTCTTTATTCCAGTGCATGGATTTGATTTTTCTTATGGAGTCTGATGACCAAAAATCTATCATGCATACAGGGCCTCCTATGAAAAATGATGATATCCTATTACTCTGCAATACTCCTGCAGACACTGTGAAATCCGTAAGCTCTTTACACATAAGTTCATTTGTGAAAATGGAATATGTAAGCAACACTTCAACTAAAATAACTGTTCTTAAAACCAGATTTTACAGAATGATGAATTAGCTGATATTATTATTTAGTTGTGTAAATTTCTTCACAAATTTTTAAGCAATCTCAGTAACCTTGTGGCAAAGAAAGGTTTAGTTTAGCATCCTGGCTTTATTTAAAAACAAATAAGAGTAAAGTTGTCTGCAATTCACACATCATGAATGGTAAAATGTGAAATGTGAATAAAAAGGTCAAACAACATAAACAAAAAGAGGGGAAAAAACATCTGAGTGAGAACCTCACATCATACCTCAAAGCTTTGATTTCATCTGATGGATTTAAATTTTAATTAAATCTACAGTTTCCAGAAATCTGAAAAAGGCAAAACAAAAAAAGAGAGAAAGAGAAAACTGACCTCCCGTGTTTCATCTCTTTTACAACCCCTCCCAAAAGTTAAGTACAAGGATGGATGCCTGGTGCTGCAAACTAACTGAGACCACAGGTCTTCCTTCCGATGTGGACTTTGGCTAAAGTGGCTGATTTGCGAGCTCGGTGCACAGGAAGTCTTGTTCCAGGTCCCAGCTTGGAATCAAGAAAGAAAGAAAGATAGAATAGGACACTTTCTTTTCCTGTAATTTTACACGTTTACTTATTCATGCTAACACATTTCTTTCATTTACTACGGCAATATTTTTTTTTTATCCTTTAGAAAAACTGAGATGTAAAGTGGAAATTGCACTTCTTTTTCTTTAAGATCACAGCGGGCTGCATGTGGCCATGAAATGAGTTTGATATCCCTGCGTTTAAATGAAACTCATGTGAAAGAACTGAATGTGATTTAGTGAAATATAGAGTTTGTGTTATTAAGTATTTGAAAGTTAGACTCTGATGAAACTATGTAGCATGGTAAAGTCCAACAATGGTGGGAAGCAGGAAGTGAGTGCAGATGCTGGTGGTGGCAGAGATGAAGAAGTTGGACAGTTGAGGAAGAGACAAGGAGGAAGTGGGTTGCACAAAATGTGGGTCTGCAAAGCAGACAGGAAAGAGGCTGGTTAGCTCGCAGAAGGTGGGCAAGAAAAGGATTGGGCCACAGTGATGACTACAAAACAGATTTGGTGAGAAACAAAAGTGATGTAAAGAATAGACTACCAGCCCAAACACCCAAGCATGCAGACAGTGACGTATGAATACAGATTTTCCTTGTTCAACTTACACTTTCAATTAACATTTAGATAAAGTTGTGAAGGGAAACATTTGACCAAAATGAGTCCAGTATGGAAAATCACCCCAAATTGTGACACTGAGTAAAACGGACACCCCTGTTTTCTTGGGTTTTGCGCTGCCCAGCTGTTGTTGATTACAGATGGAGGGGTTGTGCTTTCAGCAGGTGAAGCACTGGCAGGTTGCTGTTGCGTGTGACAGTTTTGATCCAGCAATCAAGGCTCCTTTTTATTGGCTGCAGCATATTGTTGAGCTTTAGCACAGGAGGCTGGGATTCAGCTTCTGCTGTGTTCTCCCCAAAGCGACAAAGTGGTCTCTGCAGTACAAATTTGGGAGTTGCTGCACAGCGTTTAACTTATCAAAGAGCATTTTGTCCCTGAGCTTTTCTCAATCTAAACCTGCAATATGGGACAATCACTGACTTTGAAAAAAAAAAACATTCAGTACGGTGAAGATGTATGTATTGATTGCCCTGCCCTTCATCAACCGAAATGATGGTGGTTGTTTTGTTGACCAGTGGATCTATAGTAACTCATTCATTTCATGACATGCTATATAATATGTAGGGATTCGTATACAGGTCACTGCTAAGAGGTTAAGACTTCTGAACCACTCACTAGACAAGAGAAAATCAATCTCTTAAAGTCCATTCCTGAAAATACAATTTTAAAAACAACCCAGAAACTAAAGCAAAATCTCTTCATCCAACTGCTTTGTGCATAAAGTCTATGTGTGTCTTACTTCAGTCGGATATATCAACGTACAAGGAATTTAAAATGTATAACCAGCATGAATCAGATCTATATTTGATAGCCAGATAAAAGGATTTGGAGTTGTACTGTTGATTAATCTTTCTTTGTTCTGTGCTTCGCTGCTGTCTCCTACAATAACAGATAACATCATTGTGGCTGGTGAGGGTGGTGATGGAAAATATGTCATATGTAGATAAGACTATTTGCGATTAGGATCCTTATTTAGAGAAAACCACTCAGGCTCAGCGAAAGTCTTTTATGCACAGACGCTTCAATCTCATCGTCTGGACCTGCAGATGAATTAATCGAAAAACAGAAACATATATAATGACAATTTAATCTTTTTTTAAACTTACTGTTTGATGTAGTTGCACTTCTTCTCTATTCACCTTACTTTTATTTTGTTCTTTCACCCATTTAAAGCAGCTGCGAGGACAACCCTTTGAAGTTGTCAGTGCTGTTTTACTCTGCCTAACAGACCAGCATACATATTGATTATATACTTGACTTGCTTCCATTTCTGCTTGATTAAATCATCTCTGTCCATCCTATAATCTCTCGGTTAGTAGGCTGAGGCCTCCCTCTCATTACAAGCACTATAATAAATCCTCTCTGGGGTTCATTAGAGCGGCCACATCTTCATATGTGTTCATGTATATGGTATATGGAAGACAACATTTGTGGAAGAAATGCTTGTGTCTTATTTACATCTGAGTGCCAGGGGGAGTGAGGGGAGGATGCTCACATGATTGGCTTTGGTGGGCTCTCCATAGCCAGAAACAACACCGGTCATCTGAAAGGCAGATTTCTCTCTGACCAATATACTGGCCTAAAACTAATTATATTCACTTTGTTGGATAGACCTGTTCAACTACTTGTTAATGCAAATGTTTAGCTGAAAAATCACAAGGCAGCACTTCACTGCAGTTAGGTGTGGGAAAGAAAGGTGATTTATGTGACTTTAAACAGGGTGTAGTTGTTTGTGACAGGTGGACCGGTCTCAGTATTTCACAAACTGTTGTAAACGAGGATTTACAGAGGATGTCCCCAAAAAGAGACAATAGGCAGTTCACTGCAAGGAAATGTCTTGTTGACGTCAGACGTCAGTAGCTAATAGCCAGAGCATCTCCAAATGCACAACATGTCAGGAGGAATGCTGACCCACATCCGCCCATCTACATTAAAGGGACGGCTGTGGAGCATGTGAGCAGCTTCAAATTCCTGGGTGTCCACATCTCCGAGGATCTCATCTGGACAACCAACTGCTCCAAGCTGGTCAAGAAGGCTCACCAGCACCTCTTCTTCCTGAGGACTCTGAGGAAGAACCACCTGTCTTCAGACATTCTGGTGAACTTCTATCGCTGCACCATCGAGAGCATTCTGACCAACTGTATAACAGTCTGGTACGGGAACTGCTCTGCCTCGGACCGGAAGGCATTGCAGAGGGTTGTGAAAACTGCCCAGCACATCGCTGGAGCACCACTTCCTGCCATAAATGACATCTACAGGAAGCAGTGTCTGAAAAGGCCTGGGAAAATCATCAAAGACCCCAGTCACCCATCACATGGACTCTTCATCCTCCTGCCCTCTGGGAGGCGCTACAGGAGCCTCCGGACTAAGACCACCAGGTACCAGAACAGCTTCTTCCCCACAGCTGTCAGACTCCTGAACTCTGCCTCCTGACATCTGACCCACCTTAAACTCATGGACTGAACATACACACACCCACAACCACCTATAACTGAACACACACACAATGGACAAAAACAAACAAATGGACAACTGTACCCTCATACACACAATAATAACATGGACTGAACCACCACTCACAACCACTAGCACTTTATATAGCCTCTGTAGAAATTATCCACATATTTCACTTAACTGCACTACTGTAAATGCGGTATAGACAATCATTCTGTACAATACAACAATTATAATTCTACAACTGTTTACAACTGTTTATAACTTGCATAGTTCATATTTCTGTATAATTCATACTTCATTTCTGTATAGCTTTTTATTTCATATTTCTGTATAGTTTTCATATTTATATCCTGTTCATAGCCTGTACATACTTATAGTTATAACATATTCATACCATACCTTCATACCATGTACATTATAACATACCCATAATAGACCCATATTTTGTACCCTCATACCTATAACAGACCCATTTCTGTAATATATCTATATTATGGCTAATATATATATTGTAATATATCTATATTATGGTTAAAGCACTTCTGGATGGATGCAAACTGCATTTTGTTGCCTTGTACTTGTGACATGTGCAATGACAATAAAGTTGAATTCTATTCTATTCTATTCTAATTCTAAACCTTGAATCAGATGGACTACAGCACCAGAAGACCACACTACCATTTCTGTCAGCTAAGAACAGGAAACTGAGGCTACTATTTGGATGGACCCACCAAAATTAGACAGCAGAATGTTAGAAAAACGTTTCCTGGACTGATAATTCTTGATTTCTGCTGTGATATTTGGGCGGTAGGTACAAAATTTGTTGTAAACAAAATGGAAGCATGGATTCATCCTGCTTTATATTGATCCAAAATGGATGATCACAGCGTACACATCTTCTAATGGCTCCAACCAGCAAGATATTGTGTCATGCCACAAAGCTCAAATCATCTCAAACTGGTTTCCTGGACATGACAGAGTTCACAGTACACAGATGGCCTCCACAGTCACCAGATCTCAATCCAATTAATGGATTTTCAACTGACAAATCTGCAGCAACTACTTGATGCTAGCAAGTCAACATGAACCAAAATCTCTGAGGAATGTTTCCAGCACTTTTTTGAATCTATGCCACGATGAATTAACG